GAGAAAGCCTGGAAACAAAGATTCCTCATGGTTTTTGCTTTCAGTTGCTAGATTGAATACCTATCCTAAACACTGACAATGGTGGATTGTGATCTGGCAGAATGAGCCAAATAAGCATGTTTATTACCTAGTTGCTTTTGTGTAGAGAATTGAATCAAAGAAAGAAAAAAGCAAGTTGTAACAGAATGTGGTAAACCAAAAGTGATTTTGTTGTTCAAAGGTACTGGGAATGATGACTTTTGAGGGGAATGTTGAGCATATCAAAATTTAGATATGTTGAGCATATCAAAATTGGTGAAGAAGAGAACTGGAGTGCACAGGGTGAGTGGTGGTCAGTGATTTCTCTGATTTTGATTTTGGCAGAGGACATAGAAAGCTGCACACAAAGCTTAACTGGTTATTCTTGTAGTATTTTGAATAAAGTACTCTTAAAGGTATTGTGAACAGTGGAGGTAGAGGTCAAAGAATTTTGGGGGGAATTGAAAGAGAAGTCATTTGTATGATATTTTGGCCCCTAACTTTTCTCATTTTGCCGATGTCCTCAAGAAATTGAGTAAGGCAGAAATAAAAATAATAATAATGGGGCTGATTTCTTAGAGGGAATATTGACTCTCTTGGATAGCTATTACTTATGATTCATTCAGTACTACATTAAAAAAACAAGAAATGGATCATAAGGAAATGAAAAGTCTCCAGGTTGTAGAGAAAAACAGCACTATGACTTTGCAGAAGGTAGTCAAATGCTGAACAGAGTGATGAATGTTCAGGGAGATTATCACTATTAAAAAGATGGCCCTTACTGTACATTGGAAGCTTAGCAAGGTGCACAAAGGGTTAGAATCCATTCTTATATGCCCTCAGTTAATGGAGGGATTAGGCATATGATTGCCAGTCCCAGGAAGCAACTTTATTCAAGGCCTGCAGCAACTCTGATCCAAGTGTGGCAGAGGCCATCCCAAATTACAAACCAAATTTGGGGGAATCATTGATGTTTACCTGGTTATGGAGTCAAGAATGATATAAAATTTAAGATTATACATTTTTAGTCTGCATTTTCAGATCAGCTCTGTTGTAGGCATCTGTGTTATTTGTATGGTAAGATCACCAATGAGAACACTGTGTGAGTTCATTACATGATACTATGAGGATGAAACCTAAGTTGTATTTTGAGACCATAAGATGTTGAAATACTTAAGCTATGAGACATCTTACATGGAGAGCTAGCTGCATATAATGGAGTGGAAGTAACCATAGAGAGAGCTGTATGGGAAGTTGTGGAGAGAGAACCATCTAAACCCTTTGAAAATGAAGTCCTATGTCTCTGACACAGAAGTACCAGATTCAATGGTTGCCCTGCTGGGTTTCAGTCTTTCCTCACTGTGTCTTAGTTCCTCTCCTTTGGGATGGAAATGGGTTTTCTGTGCCATTCACATGTTGGAAATATTTAAATTGTTTTCTCATTTTATAAGATGCCACAATCAAGAATTTGTCTTGAGTGTCAAAAGAGACTTTGGATATTTCAACAGTGAAGGGGTTGTTGCATACTGTGAGAATCATTGAAGTGACTAAATGTATTTTCTTCAAGGATGACCCTTGAGCCTATATGACCTGGGTGAGAATCTAGTCAACTGAATGAAAAGCTCCCAGATAGGATGAGGTATTTGAACATGTGTCTCTCCTTGTTGAATTTCTTTGGGTACTTGTGGAACCTCTCTGGATAAAATATCTCATTGAGGTTTGTGATATGTGTTACCATAGCCTCAACGCATTTCCTTTTCTATGTTTTCTACTATGTTGTGGTTGAAATGAATCAGTCAACTTTCTTCTGCTGCTGCCATTTGTAGCTAGAATTTTCCTGCCTGGCCCACAGTCAGGGCAAATCTCTCTCACCTGCCAGTCCCACAGCCACTCAGACCAGACCAAGTAAACACAGAGACTTATATTGGTTACAAACTGTATGGCCGTGGCAGGCTTCTTGCTAACTGTTCTTACAGCTTAAATTAATGCATTTCTATAAGTCTGTACCTTGCCACATGGCTCGTGGCTTACTGGCATCTTCACATGCTGTTTCTCATCATGGCGGCTGGCAGTGTCTCTCTGACCCAGCCTTCCATTTCCCAGCTTTATTCTCCTCCTTGTCCCGCCTACACTTCCTGCCTAGCCAATGGCCAATCAGTGTTTTATTTATTGACTAATGAGCAACACATTTGCTATACAGAACATCCATAGCACTTCCCCCCCCTCCTTTTTTTTTCAAAAAGGAAGGTTTTAACCTTAACAAAGTAAAATTACATATAATTTTGGAATTTGGGCGTAGCTTCTCTTACTACTTCCTGCTGGAGGGGGGCGATGTATCTTATGGGGACACAAAGAAAATTTTAGGATCATGGAGTAGTCCGTGAGGCTGTATCGTCTGAGCCAGTTGCCTTGAAACCATTCTGGATGTTGAATCATCTGGGTCATGGTGTCATCGGAGACCTTTCAGGGTGTCTTGGCTGGTCAAACCTGATGTATCTTAGTCTGGAACAAATCCATAGCGTTTGGCTTTCTGTGGGAACAAAAGCAGTCTCCTTTCCAAAGCAACACATCCTTACATCCAAATTTTGAAGTCAAGGTACGTTTAAAATATACATTTTGGTTTAACTCATCATCTTTTATGATCAAATATTTTTCTGCAGTTAAAAATCCCAAAGACAACACAATCTAGATTCTCTGTGTAATATTCATCTTTACATGACTTATTTTTCGTATTAATTTTACTGTCGCTTTAAAGACTTTATTTTTTAAAATTATGTATTTGTTTCTATAACTGTATATATCACCTTTTTTGTCTCTTTCAAGCCTACGTATTTTTTACACACATTGTAAACTATTACATCTGAATCTGTCTTATTGTGAATCTATTGCCTTAAACTGCAGCAGCTGTGGCTGCTGGCTCTGCCCACCTCAGTTTCCCATCATGGCGGTGGTTTACCGCCAGCTCTGGGAGCTATCATGGGTCTATGCTTTTATCCAAGCAGCATGTAGCCCAGAAACTTCTTTTTTTTTGTTTTGTACTAGCAAATTCTAAATCCACCATGCAGTTTAATGTACCACTTGCAGAGGCCTCATTCCTGCCATACTGCACACAGCTAGGAACCCACCAGTAGCTCAAACCAGCAGCTGCCGCTCATTTGAGAGAGACAATTAGGAACTGTTTTTAGCTCCATTTTAGAATCTTTTTTTCTCAATTTTTAGGGTGGAAACTCTTACCACCACGTTGGACGCCATTTGTAGCTAGAGTTTTCCTGCCTGGCCCACAGTCAGGGCAAATCTCTCTCACCTGCCAGTCCCACAGCTGCTCAGACCAGACCAAGTAAACACAGAGACTTATATTGGTTACAAAACTGTATGGCCATGGCAGGCTTCTTGCTAACTGTTCTTATAGCTTAAATTAATGCATTTCTATAAGTCTGTACCTTGCCACATGGCTCGTGGCTTACTGGCATATTCACATGCTGTTTCTCATCATGGCAGCTGGCAGTGTCTCTCTGACCCAGCCTTCCATTTCCCAGCTTTATTCTCCTCCTTGTCCCACTTACACTTCCTGCCTAGCCAATGGCCAATCAGTGTTTTATTTATTGACTAATGAGCAACACATTTGCCATACAGAACATCCCACAGCAGCCATGACTTCACCACCAGTATAGATAGTATCACTAAATCACATACAATACAATTGATGGAATTGGTATTCAATGTTAAGTCACTTTGTTAGCCTGAATTTTTTAAAATCTTGTTGTTCCTATTTTTTTTCTGAAGAAAAAATTTTACTGAGTAGCCCTGGACTCTCCTAAAAGTATCTCTGTAAACCAGGTTGGCCTCCAACTCAGAGATTCACCTGACTCTTGCTTCCACATGCTGAGATTAAAGGTTGTTCAACATTCCAGGTTTTTTTAATTTTTATTATTGTGTGATGGTCCTATACTATATGTTGTTTTGCTGAGCTTTACCCCCCAAGTTTCAATTTTGAAATTCAGTAGAAGATACCATTCTCTTCCTAGATGTAGTGTCTGGGCCTCCTGAATCATTAGATTACAATTGTGTGAAATTCTTCTTGCTTTTTGTGTTTTTTAATGTTTTTTTAATGAATATGATTCCTTTGTCTATATACATGGATATGCACTACATATTTTCCTGTCCTCACAGTAGTCCAAAGAGAGTTTTAGGAATAATGAACAGTTGTGTGCATCCCCCATATAAGTACTTATAATTGAGCCCATCTATATGCAAGACCAGTAAGAGCACACAACTTCTGAGCCATCTCTCCTTCCCTGTGTTGATTATTTATGATCATCATTGATATTGCTAATGTTATCTTCTTTCTATTTGTACCTCTTTAAATGCACAGTTCCTTTTGTAAGATTTATTAAAGTAGTTTAAACTGGAGCAAATCAGTTTTCTGGAAGATTAATACAGAACTGGAGTGAATGCCGAACTCTTTGTAGGATCTTCAGTAAAAAAATCTCTGAGTTCATCTTTTCTGTTTTGTTTTTTTGAATGGAAGATTCAGTGCAGATACAGTTAGCATAGACTAGGCTAACTTTCACCTCAGAAGCACACATACCTGCTTCTACCTTCTAAGCTCTGGGATTAAAGGCATGAGCCGATATACCCATCTTATAAATCTTCCTTGTAGTTAATAATTGTTCATTCAATTTCTCAGATGTGTGCTCAGTACTGTTGAAATGTTTGCTTGTCTCTCTATCTCTGTTAATAGGCATTTTTCTTGTAGGGTGATATCCTGTTCAAAGCATTCAGAAAAAAAAGAAGTGAACCTCTTATTCAGTTTCTTTGTGAAATAAGTTGATGATTTCATTGTAATGTCTGAGTTATAGAATATGTGTAGCACTCACAAGAATTATGTGGTTATATTGTCAAAGAAGCACACATTTGAAATGTTGTATCATGCTTTTTGTTTTATACATATGGATGGCATATTTATGTATGGCATATTTTAGAATGCAGTGATCTATAATGATGTGCATGTTGACATCACTCAGGAAGAGTGGGCATTGATGGATCCTTCACAGAGGAATCTCTACAAAGATGTGATGCTGGAGACCTTTATGAACCTCACTGCTATAGGTAATACTGTAAATTCTTCTTCACATTTTAAATAAGAGAATAATAGTTTCTTGGTTATCGATGCTCTTCTGTAATCCTGACTGAGAATGAAGCAGAATGAGGTCAATAAAACAGGCTTGGTTCTAAGGATCACTGAAGAAAGTAATGTAAATTTTTCAGTTTCCTGTAATATTTCATACATTTCCTTGTTTGATATTTTAGGCTACAACTGGGAAGATCTTGAAGTTGAAGAACATTGTCAAAGTTCTCAAAAATATGGAAGGTAATTTTCTTGTACAAGCTGATACAAATGGGCCTCTGGATATATTTAGCTTATCTGGAAGTTTTAAAGAAATGAAACATTGTAAATAAACACAGCTCAAAATGCGTTGATGATCATTACATGCTCATAAACACACATACCTCAAGGGCAGGTAAGTGAATTGTGTTTGCAAGTCATTCTTTTAAGAAGGAAGACAAGGAATCAATGCCTTAGCAGAAATCATCATTTGAATAATAGCTTCATCAGAGCTATGCTATACAAATAACAATCCTTTTAATTTCATACTATTCAAATTACAAAAGGTATACTCACTGAATGCATGATAAGAATATGTACACAACCTTTTGATAAGCAAAAAATCCATAGTAAAAGCATTGTTACTCAAAAGTTATTCTGTCTTTGCTAATTTAGTTAGATAGGTGGTTAGAGTCAAGAATTAAAGTGGGGATGTTGTAGAGAAAAAGTAATCCCTATGCTACATGTTGATGGGGAAAAGAAAGTCCAACAGTAAATAAAATGTGGAAACCTTCTTGTTGTTATTCTTTCTTTATAGTTATATCATATGTCACTTTGGGTACCAGCCATATGAACATAAGGATATGAAAAGAAGTAATGTACATCTCTCAATCTCAGAACAATTACAAAACATGTAGTAGCCCCATGTTGAGCAAACTTGTTGAATGACATTTAAATTTACAAATAATTGGTTTTCCAGCTTAATTTGGACTAAATCAACAACACATCACAGAAAAGACCTATGAGTACTAGGCCTGTGTAAATGCTTCTGTTTGTTCTGGTTCACTTTGAAAATGTAGCATTAATCATAGTATAGGAAAGTTTATCAATAGAGTATGTGATGTAAATGTCTGAATTCTTCCAGTTCTCTTCAAATATTTGAAAAATCTCAGAGAAAAATGATGCCATAAATATGAGCCAGGTAGTAAAGGGTTTTACTATGACAGGCATGTTCAAATATGCAAAGCCATCCTTAATGTAGGGAACAACATGAATGTACACAACATGTTAAAAACTAAAGATAACATAACTCTTTATATTCACACAAAATTGTAAAATTAATTCATGCAGATATAAAGACTCAACAATGTAATGAATGTGGCAAATTTATTAAATGTTTCAATTATCCTTGCAGGCATGAAAGAAGTCATACTACAGAAAAATCATCTGAACACACTCAATGTGGCTAAGTGTTTGTACATCATAGTCATCCTCCAAGGTATAAAAACATACATACTGGAGACCAACGCTATGAATATAATCAATATGGTAAAGCCTTTGCATACCCTACTCATATTCAAGTACATAAAAGAACACATGCTGGAGAGAAACCCTCTCAATATAATCAGTGTGGTAAAACTTTTGTTTATCACAGTCACCTTCAAGTACATGAAAGAACACGTACTGGAGAGAAACCCTATGAATGTAATCAGTGTGGGAAAGCTTTTGCTTGTCATAGTAATCTTCAAAAGCATGAAAGAACACATACTGGAGAGAAACCCTGTGAATGTAATCAGTGTGGGAAAGCCTTTGCACAAAATGGTGCTCTTCAAATGCATAAAAGAACACATACTGTAGAGAAACCCTGTGAATGTCATCAGTGTGGTAAAGCTTTTGCTTGTCATAGTAATCTTAAAAGGCATGAAAGAACACATACTGGAGAGAAACCCTATGAATGTCATCAGTGTGGGAAAGCGTTTGCTCGTCATAGTTATCTTCAAGGGCATGAAAGAACACATACAAAAGAGAAACCATATGAATGTAATCAGTGTGGTAAAGCTTTTGCTCTTCACAGTACTCTTCAATTGCATGAAAGAACACATACTGGAGAGAAACCCTATGAATATAATCAGTGTGGGAAAGCCTTTGCACAAAATGGTACTCTTCACGTGCATAAAAGAACACATACTGGACTCAAACCCTATGAATGTCATCAGTGTGATAAAGCTTTTGCTCGTTGTAGTGATCTTCTAAGGCATGGAAGAACACATACTGGAGAGAAACCCTATGAATGTAATCAGTGTGGGAAAGCCTTTGCACAAAATGGTATTCTTCAAGTGCATAAAATAACACACACTGGAGTCAAACCCTGCGAATGTCATCAGTGTAATAAAGCTTTTGCTTGTCGTAGTGATCTTCAAAGGCATGAAAGAACACATACTGGAGAGAAACCCTATGAATGTAATCAGTGTGGGAAAGCTTTTGTTCGTCACAGTACTCTTAAATTCCATGAAAGAACACATACTGGAGAGAAACCCTATGAATGTAATCAGTGTTTGTAAGTCCTTTCCTTATCACAATAATCTTCAAAGGCATAAAAGAATACATACTGGAGAGAAATTCTATCAATGTAATCAGTGTTGTAAAACCTTTGCTTATCACAATACTCTTCAAAGGCATAAAAGAACAAATACTGGAGAGAAAACCCTATGAATGTAATCAATGTGGTAAAGCTTTTGATCGTCACAGTACTCTTCAATTGCATGAAAGAACACATACTGGAGAGAAACCCTAGGAATGTAATCAGTGTGGGAAAGCGTTTGCTTGTCATAGTTATCTTCAAAGGCATGAAAGAACACATACTGGAGAGAAACCCTATGTATGTAAACAGTGTTGTAAAGCTTTTGCTTATCACAGACATCTTCAAAGGCATGAAAGAACAAATACTTGAGTGAAACCATACAATTGTAATCAGTGTGGTAAAGTCTGCTCATCACACTGCTTTTCAGTTTCATGGAAGAACACATATTTGAGAGAAACCCTATGAATTGAAACAGTGTGGTACTGCCTTTGCACACCCCAGTCATCTTCAAGTATATAAAAACACATACCGGAGAGAAAACCCTTTGAACATTATCAATGTGGTAATGCCTAGCGAAAACACAGCAACCCTATAACTATAAAACTTTTAGTGTGTAATTGGTATCTTAAAGCCTTAGAATATAACATTAGACTTTGAAGATCTGAAAAAAAACATACCAAAGGAAATCTGAATATATATAAATTGGTATGATCTTTAGCCAACATACTTACATTCAATTACACAAGATTAATTATTTTGGAAAATAATCTAAAATGTGTCAATAATCTTTTCAAGCATTATAATATCTCTTTATTTTGTTTACACCTGTCAACTAATATGGATAAAAGGCCTATAAATTTAAATGATAAGGTAACCCTTTTAGATTTCATGCAATTCTTCAAATACATGAAATAATAAATTCTGGTATAAAATTTCATAGCTGTTTATCATTGCTTTTCTGTTGCTTTGATAATGGATCATATCTAAGTGAACTTAGAAAAGTGTTTAATTTAGCCCTTGGATCCAGAGCAATACATGAACCCTGTAAAAGTGTCATGTTAACAAGTGACAGACATGGCAGTTAAAGCAAGAGGCTAAGAATTCACATTCTTGTCCTGCAGCATGAAGAAAAATGTAAATTGGAAATGGTATGCAGATAAAAACTATCAGGCCAATCCCCAGTGACAGATTTCTTACAGCAGGGTACCATTTCTTAAATCTTCCCAAATCATATCATAGACTGAAAATGATTTATTTCTCTCTCTAACTTCGAGTCTCTATGCATTCTTTCTGAAACATGGACCAATTCATGATAGAGAAAAACTCTGTAATCATTTAGATGCCTCAAAACCCATGGTACCAGAATTATAATAGAAAAAACATTCATGATTGAAAGTTAGCTTTAATATTTGTTTTTATTTTAATTAAGCAATATCTGTATATATTTCTGTGGGTATATGTATGTGCATTCTAGTTCCCAAGAAGGTTAAGCCCTTGGCCCTTCTTATAGCAGGAATTATTCCAAGTCATTGAAAACCAGACCTTGGTCCAGGAAATGAACTTTTATTAAAGGCTTGGCCATTTCTCTATCCCTGTCAACATTTTAATCAGTATTCCTTTTTTTTTCCTGTTTTTTTGAGACAGGGTTTCTCTGTGTAGTTTTTTGCCTTTTCTGGACCTCACTTTGTAGACCACAGTGGCCACGAACTCACGGAGATCCACCTGCCTCTGCCTCCCAATTGCTGGGATTAAAGGCGTGTGTCACCACCGCCCGGCCCCTGTCAACATTTTAAAGCTCTTTATATTATCTTGATACCAGGAAATATGTAGGTACTCACAGAAAAGAAACCCTACTTATGTAAACTTTATGTAAGACTTTAGACATCACAATTGTTTTCAATTTCAAGGAAAAACCCTTGTTTTAAGTCTTCTTCCTTGTAGCTTTGAAGTAAGTAAGTTATTAACCAAGTTCACTAAAGACTGATGTGAAGACTACATTGTGGCTTCTATTTTGCAACATGAGAGATAGATATTGAAGGGTACTATATGTGTGACAAATTCAATTAGTGAAGTTTATTTTGTGGTTCTTTCGTTTCTTCTGTGGTTTTTGTTCATCTTTTTTGACTTTCATTCAGTAAGAGGTATCTGTCTGCTGCAATGTATTAGAATGAGATGGCGATCATCTAAGTGCTTGATTTTTATTTAAGTCTCAGGCAGTATGTGATCACACTTTTCAAGTAAGGGTGTTTGTGAAACAGTGGTAGATTTTTGTTCTTGATTTTGTTTTTAACATTTTTTCACAAATTCCCTTGAAATATTGTTTGCTATCCAGCTTGGTTTGAATGTCAGTAATTAGTCATGGATACATTAGAATTCATGATCCTTGTCTGTCAGTTTCCTGAGCACAAGTCTAAGGGTATATGATGTACTTTCATTGATTGTTGTTTTGTCAAAAGTGTAGGGAAAAGGGGGTGGTTAAAGAAACCCACAATGACCCGGGAGCCCCGAACTAGAAAAAGATGACTCAGATAAAGGCAGTTGAAAAAAATAAAAACAGTTTGGCTCAAATCAGTGCCATCCTCTGCTCCTGGCCAACTGACTTGTGAAACCAACCAAGCACAGAGCAGGATAGTAGAATCCTGTCTCTAGGGCTCAGGACCAGGGAAAGAAACACAAATTGTATTTTGGACCTAGCCAAAGAAATGAAACAAGAAAACATGCCCTGACTCTGAAATTGGTGCCAAAATAACACTCTTGGTCCCTAGAATCAGAGTTAGTGAAAGAAATGAGCCCTGGGCTTAAAGCTAGTGTGAAAAAGCCAAGAAAGGCCAGTGAAAGAAAAGCAATTTGTCCCTGTAATCAGGACCATCCCTGTCCTTAGCCCACAAAACTGGCCAATTGTTGATCAGAAAAAAAAAAGTGATTGAATGACTCCATCCCCCAAAACATCCTATATAAACTGCCCTGCCTGGTCAAATGCGAGTTGTTCTCTCCACCCTGATAGAAACAACTACTATCCTGACTCCTCCTTCCCAAATTAATCTCTTTCTCCAAGTGTTTTGGGCGTCAAGTCTTTCATTCCCTGGTGCACAGAAGAACCTTGTTGAGATGTCTCAAGTTGGATTGAGCAAGGGGGATCTGAACAGAAAAACCTTGCTGAGACATCTCATAGTGGATTGTGCAAGGGGGATCTGAACAAAAGAAAATTGCTGAGATGTCTCACAGTGGATTGAGCAAGGGTGAGCTGAACAGAAGATCCTTTCTGAGTAGACAGAGCAAAAGAGCTGAAAAGTATCACTTTTCTCCTGAGCCAGAGGAGATTGCTACATTTTTGTAATTTCATTAGGCAGAGAAGCAGGGATTTTCTAGGAAGCCCCCTTAAGTGGGCGCTGATCAAAGCTCAGCTGTACAGGCTATTCAGGAGAGGAGCAGGATTGCTGTATCCTGCAGGGAGACCATCAGCCATCACACCAGTTGTAGCCTGACTTACCAAAAAGTCAAAATACCCTTCCCTGTTGAAGCACTTCCAGGCCTGTCTTTCCTGAGAAGTCAGAAAATTTTCCCTCCAGGGTTAGGCTAATCAGCTCCAAGTGTC